CAACCCCAAGCGGGAGGGGCCATCCTACCTGTCAAACACCATACAAAGTCGACATGTTTCTTCTCAGTGGGGATTTTCTTGTCGTCAGCTTTGCGAAATGCGTGGCAGGAAGGGGGCGAGGTGCACATCGCGCGCGACAATGCGAAATGTCGCTCTCGCTTCGGCGCCGCGCGCATGTTTTCTGAAAGTTGCGCTCCCGCTAAGGCGCGGAGCACATTTTTCGCTCGCCAATTCGTCGAGCGCCTTGGGCCACCTGGGGCCTCCCAGGGTCTCCTGGAACATCCTGGGGCTTCCTGGGGCTTCCTGGGGCTTCCCCAGGGGGCTTCCTGGGATTCCCCGGGGGCTTCCTGACACTTCCTAGGGCTTCCTGAAGCCTCCTGGAATTACCTGGGGGGTCCTGGGCCCTCCTGAAGGCTTCCTGGGGGTCGCTGGGGCTTCTCCTGAGGCCTCCTGGGGCCTCCTGAGGCTTCCTGGGGCCTCCTCGGCTCGTGCTGAAATGCCAGCGCAGTCTTTGAGACGCGCCAGGGATTTCTTATCCGTAACCGCCATCGCGGCTGCATCAGCTGTGGCAAACCACCTTGCCGATCCAATGTCGGTCCCCAGTTGCGCCAGCACTGTTTCTCATGTTGTGGGAGGGCGGGTGGGAATCGGAATGCCATGCTTGACTCGCTCGAGCTGGCTAGCTTGACTCCTACTCCTCCTCCTACTCCTATTCCTACTCCTACTCCTACTCCTACTCCTACTCCTACTCCTACTCCTCCTCCTCCGCACGATCAGCAGCCGCGGAAGGACCCCCCACGCTGGCCAGGGTCCTGCTCCTTGATCCTGTCGACCTCCTGCAGCCTCGGGGCCTCGCCGGCCTCCACGCCGAGCGGGTCATCGCAACCTGCGAGGGGGCGGAGTCGCCCGCGCGGGGTCGCGGGCTCACCCACGCGGAGCGGAGCCTTGCGGGACGGGAAAATGACCACGGCCACTGCTTCTTGTTTGCGCCACCTTCCAGCCGGCCGGAAGAGAAGCCGTGGTTGTGGTCATCTCCCTGGCGCCAAGCTCCACAAAAATGACCACGACCACTGCTCTGTTTCTGCGGGCTGGAAGGCGGCAACAAAAGGAAAGCAGTGGCTGTGGTCGTTTTCGCGCCCCGTGAGCCTGTCCCGCGACCCGTCTGCGGAAGTGCGCAGACCGTCTCCGCGTCGGGCGGAGAGGGCGCCGGCGGTGGGCACACCGGGCAGGCGTGCAGTCCGATGGAGCCAGTGCGCGGCCTAGGGCAACGAGGTCTATGCATATCCACTGCTCCTGGCCAGGCCCATCCTGGGCCCAGGAGCGGTGTATATGCCTCCCTGGCCAAGCCAGGAGGGCGTATACACAGCTCTTGGGCCCAGGATTGGCCTGGCCGGGAGCAGTGGATACGTATAGACCTCGTCGCCGTACGGCCCAGAGTCGGGCGCGACTGCGTTGAGTATCACTGTTGGAGCCCCATCGAAAAGCGCACGAAGTCTTCTTCGTGCTCGGGAACCCAGCGGCCGAATTCGCTGCACACCCCTCGGTTTCGAATAACTGATTCGCAAACTTGCAAAGATCGTCATCCCGTCTCACCGCGGTCCGTCCGCGTGATCGGGATACAGAGCAAGGCAAGATGCCAGGGTAGCCTTGACAAAAGACTGGATCATCTTACCATTGGTTTCGACCAAGACAGGTCAGGCGAGCGACATTCGCAGATAAACTACATAGCGTGAGCCAACACTGATCCTCCTACTAATCCTGCTCCTCCTGATCAAAATCCTAATGCTCGTTCGTCGTTCCTCAATCCTCATTCTTGCTCCCCTCCTCCTCCTCCTCCTCCTCCTCCTCCTCCTCCTCCTCCTCCTCCTCCTCCTCATGTTTTTCTTCCTCTTTCCCTCCCACATCTCTCAGTCATCCCTCTTCCTCCCCTCCTCCCCTCAAGCGGCCCCCCAACGGTCCCGAAGCACATTCTGATCATGATCAGGACTTCGGGCCGAATCCGGCTGCGGCGACAAGGGCCCCTGAAGGCGTCTTTATCGTTCTTTCTCCCATCACGAGGAGAATGTTTGGGCGATGAGGCCCAAGGAGGGGCGAAAAATGATCTCATTCTCGAACCCCCATCTTTGAAGTTTGGAAGAATGATGAAGAAAGCCGAAGGGACGATGCGGACAGATGCAAAGACCTCGCACGCCAACAAAATCAGCACCAGCGCAACCCAAGAAGGCCACCCTGGAGAGCTGAGACATCTCCAACGTCCGGCCACGACCTTGGAGCCCCACTCCAAGCGAACAAGACCCGTCAAAACAGGAGGAGGGGCAGGAAGAGGAAGACGAAACGAGAGGCGGAGGAGGGGAGAGAAGCCGAGGGCGGAGAGGCGAGAAGATCTGGCACTGAGCGGACAGCTTCGCTCCGCCAGCCACAAGGTCCACTATAACTCTACGTCCAGAGGTGGGGAGAGACATACCGATACAATACACAACTACTCGCGCGTACCTAGGCCGACTAAGCTACAAGGCACCCGCACGAAACCCACGCGAGAACAAGGTGGATGAACGGGGGGGAAGAAAAGCACAAGCACAGAGACCGCTGACGGCTTGCACAACTCCAGTGTTCGCACGAAGAGCAATGAACTGCCCAAAGTTTGAGCTAGACAGAGGCGCAAGGCCGCAGAGAGCAGGGCCTATGGCGCCGACGGCGCGCGGCTTGAGCGGCCCCCAGGGCTGGGAGCGGCACGCACGAACGGACAGATACATGAATGGCCCAGCTCCGGCAAACCGCACGAAGCGCGGGCGGGTGGTACCGGGGGGCGACCAAATACATGGGGGGGGGGAAGAAAAGGGCCCTGGAGGACCCCATGTGGGCCCCTTGTGGGCCCCTGCTGGTTCTAAGAGAGGCCTCGGGCCATGTTCTTCACCCCCCATTCCCGGGGGCGGCCAAGAGGGGGGCGTCCAAGAGGGGGGGGGGGGGGCGCAAATCATGGCCGGCGGCACGTGCGCGGCCCCAGGCGGGGCCGGGGACGTATTGAAATAAGAACAGGCGCCATGAAATCTGGGGAGGTACCATGGCCCCCGCCATGATATCCAGCCTCACCTAGTCATCACCCCTCTCTGCCGCCCCCGACATTCAAGTCACCCCCCATCACCACCCGCCCGAGGAGCATGCGAACTCCTTGCCTCGACCTCCGATCGGCACCACTCCCTAGAGTGCCGACGGCCGGCGCCAAGCGTCGGAGGCCTGGAAATGGGCACCAACACCAACACAGGGGCTTGCCTCCACAGGGGGAAGATGATCCTAGATTTCGGTGTTGGTGGTAATATGGCGGTCACCTTGGAAGCAAGAACATCACCATCATCACCGAGATCGGGATCTTCTTCCCTCGGTGGAGGCACACCGCCGACATTGGTGTTGGTGTCAACCTCTAGGCCTGCGAAAGAGGACGGCAAGAGCCCAGGAAGGGGGGCGGAGAGGAGACTGCCGCCTGCCTAACACACCGGGCCCCCCAGGGGCGGCTGCCCCTTCCAGCCACCGGCTGGCCTGGACGATCGGCCGCACGCCACACACACGACCATGGAGCACGCCGCCGAGATGGTGGCGGCCGCAGCTGAAAAGCTCGCTGGCAGGGATGGCCTCCGTCTCGAGGTGGTGCCCCGTTCGGCCCACGACACGCGTGCGAGGCCGAGGCTGGCCAGTACGGGTGACGTCCACCCGGCCATGGCATGCACGCCCTTCCAGGTGTCACGGAGGCGATGCGGCACGTGACCCAGGCCAGTCGGGAAAACGGCATCAGGGGAGGGGAGCGAGGGGAGGGGAAGGGGAGGGGAGAAGGAGCGAGGGGAGGGGAGCGAGGGGAGGGGAGGGGAGGGGAAGGGGAGGGGAGAAAGGAAGGGCACCAGCAGGCGACAAGGAGAACGACGAGGAGAAGGCGAGCGGGGAGGGCCAAGCCCCAGTGGTGGCGGCGCGCGGAGCGCGCGCGCCCTGCACCCCAATGCAAGGCGGCCGTGGGGAAGGAGGGGGGAAGAAAGAGGGAAGGAAGCAGGCAGGAGGGGAAGGGGGCGGGGAGGGCCAGGAGGATGCGGGCCACCGAGCGCCCACGCTGGGCGCCCTGGCAAGGCGACAACAGGAACGAGGAGGAGGAGGAGGAGGAGGAGGAGCAGGCGCAGGAGGAGGAGGACGAGGAGGAGGAGGAAGAGGAGGCGCAGGAGGAGGAGGAGGAGGAGGAGGCGAGCAAACGAGCGCTCCTGTTTAGCGCCCTGGGCGGGAACACCTTCCCGCCATCCTAGTCGCAAGACTCTTGCAGTCCGCAGAGGGGACAGAGGAGGAGGGCAGGGAAGGGGGCAGCAAGGGGGGAAAGAGGGACAGCCGTATACATCTCGAAAACGTGCCCCAACACCACACCTTCCCATTCCCCAACTCATCATCTGCTCCAGCTCCTCCTCAATCCTCCACATCGACGCGACTATGTAGAAAGGAGAGGCACCACAGAGCGGACGGCACGACTGGGACTTGGTATCACCGACGTATCGGTGATAGAACCCCGATTTTAGAATTACCCTCACCCTCTTCTCGCTTACCGCTTATCCTCCGAACTCTCATTATCATGATCCTCCTCTTCCTAAACCTGTTCCTCCTCCTCCTCCTCCTCGCCAACCCTCCATGATGCATCCTTCCTCGCCCCGCCTCAGTATCCTCCATCCTGCTCTCCCTTCCTCTCCCTCTCTCTCTCTCTCTCTCTCTCCTTCCTCTCCCTCCCTCTCTCTCTCTCTCTCTCTCTCTCTCTACAGACACGCCATAATGCCACCCCTCTCCCGAAACGTCGAGCTTCGTGCGCACCACCTCGTGAAGGGGCCATAATGGCGCAACAGCGCGTTCAATCTGAAAACAACTGTGAATGAGCCACCAAACGGCGCTGCATTCTCAAGCATCGGTCGAACATGCCCGAGCGCGCCAGTCTGCCACCGTGCCCCCTGGCACGTTGAGGCGTGGAGGAGTGACGAGGTCTG